TTCTTTCATCAGGAAAAAAAAAGTGTTTCTACCTTATTCCGTTCTTCCTGGACTTGCGTCTCACCGGCGACATGTTCTCTCATAGCGAACCGTTACCTTTTTCTTATTTGCCTACAGTCTATGCTCATCTCCCATCAAAAGTGGCACTGCCCCCTAGAGGGTCAATTTGTTACTACATACTCTGTCTAGAAGCCTGATATTTACGGACAAGCTTTAGCAGATCGTCCCCCAAGCCACTCACATTGAAAAACATAAAAGACGTCTATAGACCAGCCAATGAGTTAAAAAATTATGTAACAAATTACTTTTGATTACTTTTTGATTACTTTAAGGTTTTAATGAGTATTGACCCATGATTAATTTTAGCATGTTTTTATTAGCTATTGGCCGCAGCTAGCAGTTCAAGGCTAACGTCACGTTAATGATCATAAACAACGTAAATAAATACATAAATAAATCGGAGACAAGGGGCGCAGCGGATCCGGATACAACATTTTAGTATCTATACTTTTGACAACCCTAGTCTGAAATGTAGGACATGTCCGGGAAAAAGAGGAGTTGGGTAGGCTAGGTAGTTTAGGCTAGGCTAGGCTAGGCTAGGTCATAGACATCGATAAACGTTTGTCATGCATCAACGCCAAACTGTCAAATATTAGTAAATCAATACGCTTCGTCTATCAGTGAGCTGCATATTTTGCAAAAGTTTTTCTTTAGATTTTTTAAAAAATGTAACTAAATTTGTAATTCTTAATATTTTCGGAAGTAACTGTAACTGAATTACATATTTTCTCATTGTAATCAGAATCAGAAATACTTTAATAATCCCAGAGGGAAATTATTTCAACAAATTAGAAATAATTTGTAACTGTAACGAATTACAGTTACTCTTTTTTTGTAATTAAATTACGTAACGTCGTTACATGTAATCCGTTACTCCTCACCAGGGGCCTTTAGCTGCTTTTGTTCGGCTTTAGAAGGAAAAGACAAGGGAGAGAAACCTTTTTTCCGTCATTTTTTACTATGAATCTGGCATCCACGAGGAAACAGCCTTCTGACTAGGATTCAGCATTCATACAGATTTAATTTAATTTGGCCTCTCAGAAAGTTCTTAATTGTTTCTTATGGAGAGGAC